GAGGAGGGCTAGCCGTAGGCAGCTAGCCTCTGAGGAGGGCGTCCATAGACACCTCACTAGACCCCACATACGGTCTCGTCCGTGCCTCGCAGGCCGGTGAGATTGCTAGAGGTGGAGCAAGCTGCTCTAGCCTCACATGTCACTTCCTGTCGTCTGTTGTTTGAGTTGTGCCCTTGTTTGTGCCCTTGGCACCGTGGAGTGCTGGGGGGGGCGACAGGGAGGATGTGGCCCTGAGTTATGTGTACGCCGACTCAGGGTGTGTGGCAGCCAGCTGGCTGTGTGTCTTGTGAGCCTGTTTGTGTCTGTGTGTCGCTCGTGCGTGTCGTCATCATCTGTCCAGCGTCCACCCATACCGCGTTGGTGTCCAGTCCGAGCCTGGCTGTTCTTCACCTTTCTACCTACCTACCTACTGACTATTGATCTACGGCTGCGGGTGAAGGGCAAAACCGCGCCGCTGCAGAACGGTTTTGCAAAACCGCGCCGCAGCGGTACGAAACTGCGCAGATGCAGTGGTCCAGGGGTGGTAAGGACACTATGTGTGTGTGTGTGTGGCCGTCGTCTAGACGGCTGCGCGGTCGTCGGTCTTCAACACACTATAGAACGATGGGCTTGCCCATCCCGGAGTCGACTCCGACGGCGATTTACGGCGTAGAGTAATGGACATCTCTATGAGGGTATCAAGCGAACCAGTTTAGACCATGTTTAGACCCAGTTTAGACCACGGCTGAACACGAACCAGATTAGTCCTGTTTACGATAAACTGGGTCTAAACAGGGCTCGGCCTGGGTGGGGGACCCCATTAGCCATACCAGGTTTAGACCCGGTTTAGGGCGCCCCTAGCTAGCTCCGCCGCCGCGGCCGCGCTGTGGCTGCGGAAGCGGCAGCGTGCAGCCGCCATCCTCTGCCTCGGGCCGGACAGCACACCTGGCACACTTGCACCGGCGCGCAACAACAGCCTCGCCGATCAGGCGCACGGTCGGTGTTAGGGCGCGACGTCGGGCGCGGCGACAGACCAGCTGGCGGCGCCTGCGCCTGGCAAGAAGCGGAAGCGCGTTGATTTCAACGGCCGCAAAGGTGCTAGTAGAAGTGGTGTTGGGTTGAGCAGTGGTACTCACTGCCCCTCACCAGATGCTTGCAGGCGATGTTCCTGGCCTCGCTCCCGACGTACCGCGCGAAAGATGAGGGGACGCGCTGCGGCTTCTGCAAGCAGATCTTCGACACGGCGAAGCTGTCGGAAGAGTCCTCGACGCGGCCGCGTGGACCCTCAAGATTGCCATGCACAACCTCGACCAGCGCGAGAAGAAGCAAGGCCGCTGACGCTTGCGCGTGCCGCTGAGAGCCGCGTCTCTCTCAGAGCAGGGGAGCTAGGTAGGCGGGGGGGAGGGAGGTGCGCGCTACGCGGGGGGGAGGGGGGGAGGAACCCCATTAGCCATACCAGGTTTAGACCCAGTTTATCGTAAACAGGACTAATCTGGTTCGTGTTTACGAGTGGTCTAAACTGGTCTAAACTGGTTCGCTTGGAACCCTCCTCAACACTTCACAACGGACCTGGTTGCTGTCTGGTACTGTCTGGCACCGATACCCGGGCACTCGAGCAGGCCTCTACTCGCCTGGGTTGCTGGGTGGTGGCCATCTCCGCCCACGACTACACCACGCTCACCGACGCGGCGCCCGCGAATATGCGCGCTCGTCGCGCTTGCCTGTGCTTCGGCCTGGTCGTGGTCCTCGTCGCCGGTCTCACCACGGACAACCACAAGCTCAACGCACCTCGCAGTGCCTTGATGCCGATCGTGATTGTGCCGGGCACGGGCGGCTCGCAGCTCGAGGCCCGGCTCGACAAGCCAAGCTCGCCGCACTGGTGGTGCGCTCGGCAAGCGGACTGGTTCCGCCTCTGGCTCGACACGAAGGAGCTGCTGCTCGACGCGCTCACGCAGTGCTGGGCCGACAACATCCGGCTGATGTGG